GCCGAGGGCTGCTAAGGACGGGGAAGCAGCGGCGACGGTTCCCGCTAAGCTCCAGAGGCAGCGGCCGGCGGGAGCGCCTGGAATTTGAGGCTTGGACACCGCCGTGGGTGTCTGGGGGGGGCCTGGCTCCTCATGCATGGTTCCTGGTCGCCGCATGCCGTCATGCAAATCGGTTCTATGCACTGAACGAGCACTTGTCCGGGGGGTTTTGGTGCGTGTTGGGGGGGCGGGATTCAGCCTGAGGTGTCGGTACCCGATTGCTCCATCTCCCAAACCAAGTAAAGCCCATGTAGAAAGTAGGATGCAGCTAATAAATACCAAATAAACTCTGACAATTAAATGACATGGGCTAAATGGGTGGGTGGTTCCTTTTTTCCTATTTTTTTTTTGGTTTTACTTGGTTTTTTCTTTTTTTTTCCCCTTTTTTTTTTTTTTGCTGCTTAACTAACTGCAAACCTAGTTTTGCATGAACAAACCCTTAAACATTGTGACTCCTGGGTTTCTCTTTCAATAATAATCAAAACGGGAAAAGAAAATCCATTTTTGGCTGCTTTGGAAAATATATGAATCCCAGCAGCGGGTTTTGTTTTGTGTGTGTGTGTGTGTGTGTGTGTGTTACTTTGCTTGTTTGTCCTAAGTTGCATTGACTGATGTGGAACATGCAGCATCCACCTGCCCAAACAAGAGAAAATCCATTTTTTTTCCTTTTTTTTTGTGTGTGTTTAAATGTTTACGAGGGTCCTTTAAAGAGGTGGTAGGTCACTGCTGGAGATGCAACGCTGTCACACAGGAAGCAGACTATGTTTGGTATAAGATCTTCAGGTAAGTGTCTCCACAGCTGTTCTGTACTGATATATTTCATGAAGTCTGTAAACAATCTTTTCGCTTGCAAATTATTTGAAATCTGTACAAACCCATTACTTCGCCTCAACACTTGGATTCCCTGACGTCTTTTGGTCTTTTGGCTCTTTCCCGTCTTCCTTCCTCCGCCCGCTGCTGTTTCTCCTTCTCGGGTTTGGTGACGCTGTCATACGACGGGAGAGACGCGGTGGACGGGGTGCCTTCTTTTTTCTCCCTGTTTGCTCCTCCGTTTTCCAGTTTTGTGGAGACAGGCCTTCGGCTAATAAAGCCCCGTCTTGCTAAACGAGCCCTGTAAGCCCTCTGGATAACCACCGCTGAAACCTCTTCCTGCTTACGCCGGAGCGTGGTTGTGATAGGCTCATAAGACACTTTGGAAGGGTTGGATGCCACAAATCTTTCCTCCATCTGTTGCCTCAGTATATCCAGCTCCCCACTGTCCCCCAGGACACGTTTGGTGAAGGCAAACAGGATGTCTAGGCAATGGATCCTGTCTCCGCTCACCATAGGCAGGTCCATGGCAATGAGTTCAATGGTGTTGGGTTTTGGGACGCGGAGAGGATGTTCCAAAGCATCAGCGAAGTCCGCGAGCTTGCTGTACTCTATGAACTGCGTGGCATCCGGGTCGAATTTCTCCCAGATCTCGTAGAAGGTCTCAAAGTCGTCCTCGCTGAGTGGATCAGCGCTCTCCTCCGTCGCCACGCTGAAGTTCTCCAGGATGATGGCAATGTACATGTTGACCACGATGAGGAAGGAGATGATGATGTAACTCACAAAGAAAAATATCCCCACCGAAGGGTTCCCACAATCCCCCTTAAACCCGCTCCCGGGGTGCTCCTTGTCCAGGTCGCAGTCTGGAGGCCGGTTTAGGATCGGCAGCAGCAGGCCATCCCAACCAGCTGACGTGGTGATCTGGAACAAGCAGATCATGCTGTTGCCAAAGGTCTCAAAGTTGAACATATCATCTATGCCAGCCTCATGCTTGACGTAGGCAAAGTTTGACATGCCAAAGATGGAGAAGATGAACATGACCAAGAAGAGCAAGAGGCCGATGTTGAACAAGGCAGGCAAGGACATCATTAAGGCAAAAAGCAAGGTGCGGATTCCTTTGGCTCCTTTGATCAAACGCAGGATACGTCCGATGCGAGCCAGTCGGATGACTCGGAAGAGAGTGGGCGACACAAAGTACTTCTCAATGATTTCAGCCAGGAACATTCCTGAGGAAGGAGAGAAGGGACAAGTGTGACAATGGAGACACGCAGTCTGATGCTGCTTCCGGAGCTAGTCAAGGGGTTGGGCACACCTTGGTCAGGTTTTCCAAGGGGGTCTGGGATTAAGAGGCCTCACCTTCAGGCAGCTGAGGCTTAGCTAGCTGCTCTGGCTCCCTAAACAGTTCTCCTAAATGGAGAGGGAGAGCGGGGCAGCTGCAGAGTGATTCCTTCCACCTGGATAAGGACGGATGAACGTTTTCTTGGAGGTGTCTAGCTCCTGGTGCCTAACTCGGCCAGGGGAGCCAGGCTACGGACTCTATTTTGAAGGGGCTAAAAACATGCAAGATAAACCTCATTTCTAGCAGCAGACAAACCCGGATCTGAGTTTTATACTGCAGGAGAGTCTTTACATGTTGGCATTTTGTCAGTCTGCCTGGGCAGAGCTGCACCCAGCCAAGCTTCTCCCAGTGACCCCTGTATTTGTGAGGTTATGCATATTTTAAGAGTAGCTGCTAAAAAAACCCCATAAACCTATTGGAGGAAACTGGTTGATTCAACACTGAACCAAACTGAAAACAAGAGTGCAAATCACATGCTGATGTAGGAAGCACTGCAATGCTATTTTCAGTGGTTAGTTATTCTGATGAGGTGAGTAAAATTTCTGGTTTTAAAGACAGGGAGAGTAATTGTCAAGTGTTTTACTCCGTACAACTGGAAACACGTGCCAGGAAAGAGGGAGGAGGGTGCATTAGTCAGGACTTCAAGCTGCCAAATTCTGCCACAGTCTCTTCACAAGACTAAAAAGAGAACTTAGAAGTCCTGGTGCCCATATATCCCCTTCAAAGACAAGAACGTGCTCTGTTCTGCAAGCACCAAGACAGCCCAGCCCTCACAGACCTCCATGTAGCTGTTGTTGCACTTACCCACGATGGACAGAATCACAACCACGAAGTCAAAAATGTTCCACCCGATGGTGAAATAATAGTGCCGCAAGGCGAACATCTTGAGCACACACTCGCAGGTGAAGAAGATGACAAAGACCAGGTTGATCCAGTAAAGGATGTCCTCCATCTGCTTGCTCTGCGTGTCTGTCTCCACCATCATGGTCACCATGTTGAGGCAGATGAGCATCATGATGACTATATCGAAGGCTTGCTGAGTGACAAAGTCGAAGACGGCTCCTTGAATGCGGTTCTGTGCGACAGGAGAGAGGCAATGAACCAAACACGTCTGAACAGAAGTCTACCATCAGTCACAGATCATTCTACTGTTGGCGGGAACAGGAATGAGGACACAGCCTTTTGGTATCTGATGAAGTTTTCAAGGCAAACTCCAGCCACAACTCAACCTGTTTGTGGGGAAGGTAGGGAAATGCTATTATTTATACCCCAAACATGCTACCACAACCCTACTACCAATGTATCTTCCTCTTTGTTGAGACCAAGGGCAGGGCGATGCCCTTCCACTCACAGCTGAGAAAGCAGCCAGGTCACCTTGCAGTGGTGACCCGCTGCAGAGCACCTGAACTAGACTTCAACCACCACTCTTGCACCCTGGCAGCAGCCTCTTTCCAGCAGCAAGCAGAGCAGCAGGATGCCTCATCCACAGCAGGATCTAAGGGACTCACCCCGTATCACACACAAAGCCTTTCAGAAAGCAGGGAAATGTGCTTAGGTCTCGATGAATGTAACCCATGCAGCTGGCTGATTGCCCAAGACCCCACTCACTAATGCCAGGAGGCCTCCTACTCTCCATCTTCAGCCTCCTACTCTCCACCTACAGCCTCCCAGCCAGCCAGGGGCTTCAGGTTTGTTGACTCAAGCGAGCCAACCGATTAACATCGACCACAGCTCTAACATTTTAACCTTTCTCACATCATACCTGAATTATAATGACAAGAACATGGCCATGTGGAGTCCAGCATGAGTCAGAACAAAGGATGCTTTTGGAGCTGAAGCTCCTTTGGAAGTTTACTCTGCAGGTTTTTCCCCTCAGTTCCCTTTGAAACATACTCACCAGAGGTCGGGGAATAGGTTTTTGAGGCTTCTTTGAACCTAGTTTCTTCATGGCATTATAGTACTTCTTTTGTTCTTCTGTCATGAAAATATCCTGACCTCCAAAGTAAAGGGGCACAAGGAAAACCGGTTACAATCAGCTCATACACCACAGGGAAAGGAATAACATCCTAGCTAAGTCATGAGGATACCTGCCATATGGGAAGTTGGTGGCAGCTATTTTAGGCAGAAATAACTTATACTAATACCCAAGGCGTACTGATTCTCCTTTAAAGAAAACAGAGTATTTTTCCTATGGATAATCTGGTTGACTGCACTACATCCTTCCCCATCCCCTGTCTCGTTTGTGATAACCAGGTAGCAGGGTTGTCTGGCCATTTCGCATACGAGCAAATCCTCAGCTTGACTTACAGGGAAGAGAAGCAGCAAGGGAGAGGCCAGGAAACCAGCTTACTTCCAGTCTGTATATTTTAGTCAAGGCACAAAAAAACCCTCAGAAATGCACTGAAGTGTAGTCTAGGGCGAGTGTCTAATCTGGCTAGAGTTCTGCATAAAGCTCTGGGCTGCCTCTTGTGCTCCCTGTGCCTGCTCAGCCAGTCTCAGTGGGGCTTGGGAGGGAGCGATGCGCTGCGAGTCCCAGCGGTTCCACAGCCCACCGCTCTAAGAGGGTTTGTGCCCCAGACGGAAGGTCCTTGGCCTTTATTTCGCAGAAAACCCCAGCAGCCTGAAGACTCAACGCTCCTCTAACAGCTCTCAGCTCCCCTGCTAATCAGCAAACACAGATCACTTATCTTTTTCTTTTGTTGATTGAAGTTGTCAATGATGACACCAATGAACAAGTTCAGGGTGAAAAAGGAGCCGAAGATAATGAAGATAACAAAATATATGTACATGTAAATGTTGTCCTCATACTTGGGTTGCTCTTCTTGCTGAATGGGAGATGAGAGGAGAAAGAAGTGAGATGAGGGGAGAAAGAAGTGACATTTCAAAGACATCGTACAAATACAGTCAAACTGAGACTGGTCATGTTTCCAAGTATTCCCAGGTAAGGCAGTCATGCTTTACAGAGCCATAGCTCCATATGGAAAACTGTGTCCTCACACTGCTGGAGGTAAAGGTCTGTGCATGTGTGTACGTACGTACCAGGGGACGGTGACTGAATTCACAGAAATGTAACACGCTACAATTTAAACTGACTTTCACTGAAAATGAGGTCAGTGCCCATAAATATATAGTCACTTGCCAATCACAAAGAAAACGATCCTTTTAATGACAAGCACTGTCAGCGTGAAGACATCATTCTTTCTTTGAAGAGGGATGTGGAAGACCATCAGCTCTTCAAGGAGAGAACATTTTTACACTGCCTTGGCACAGCCATACTATTTGTTTCCAGCCCTGTATTCAGTGCAGGACAAGAAAATACACTTAAAAATCTTTTAATATAAAAAACCAAGAGCAGAGAAGGAACAACAATTAGAAAGCCAAAGGGAAGGAATGGTATTTGCATGATTCCAGCATGCCAGAACAAGAATAGTGCCTGAAGAGCAAGCTTCAACCCAGACATCATTGCAAAACTGGATTCAAACCGACACTTGGGCTCCCACGTAGATGCAGGGTTCATGGAGGACCCTCTGGCTAATTCCTCCCCATAATTTACTCTGATGATGAAATATATAACTCCACTGTATTCCTTTCTCCACTGTATTTCTACTCCAGTAGGAACCTCCCTGCCCCTAAGGCAATCAGAAGAACCCTGCCCTTCTCGGGATTTTCTTGAGTATCTTTCATCACACCAACAGAGCAAACGAAGCAATCACAGCATTAAATACATCATACAAGCACAGTTCGACAGTTTTTACTCTTGTGGTTTTACTGAAGCAAAATTGCCCAGTGAAGTATCAGGAGATGAGTTTGTGGTCATGCACTTTACCTTCCTGGAATCTACTGCTGCGTACATGATGTCCATCCAGCCCTTGAAGGTCGCCTAGCAAAGAAAACACGTTCTCTTAGACAGAATTCACCCAGAGCAGAAGAACAAGTGTGATTTGTGCCAGCTATGTCACGGATACCCTGTACACTGAACTTTAAATGAAAAGAGACTATTTAAGTAACATTAATCTGAATGACATGGGATGAAACTTGAGAAGTGGGGCCATGTGAACCTCGTGAGGTTCTACAGGCCAAGTGCAGGGTCCTGCACGT